GTCCCAATTTAAATATCCCGCGAGTTACCCACCCAATGCCACGTCCAAATGCCACGCCTCCTCCGTCCCAGGGATAAGGCGTGTATGTGCCATGAGTCACAGAGTTCTGCTCATCGGCAGCTTTGTCATGGCACGGCATTGAGCGAGGGGAGGGGGTGGGGAGGGTACTAGTAGTACTTACCATGATATTCCTTTTGTAGATTCCAGCAAACATGGGTTTCAATCTATGTCGTACACCATTCTTGAAATCTGGACGATTTTCAGGATATTCTGACCAACACAAACGCATCGTTTCGATAACATAGTCCTGGCCTTCAATACATGACAGATTCGGGCGACTACATGTTCCGCCAGCCACTCGAGCAACAATCTCTGGAAGAAAAAGCGCATTACGAGAAAACTTCTAGCTCACTTAAACAGCTCATATTGTTGTGACTGCATTTGGAGGAAAAAATGGGAAATTATTTGAGAAAAGCAGACAAGAGAGATTGCAGCATGACGTACCAGGAACTTGTGTGTCGCTCTTAGCGAATATCTGGAATGGTCCTTGTCGTGTAAGAATTTCGTGCAGGATGATTCCAAACGCGTAGACATCGCCCTTTTGAGTACCTTGAAATGTTCATCGTATAAGCTTCAAATGAAGCCATTCAGAGTTTGTGATAACGCGCGTCAACGCGCTACTATTGCAGCATGGCTATAGCCTGGCTAGAGCCTCAGACAGCAATCGATCGGCGCCGGCGGCTAGTGTTTTGAGAGGATGGGGAATGGGAGAGTATCCGTTCACTGATCACGCGATCTGGTATCGATCGGCACTAGCCGCTAGTGTTCGTATAGAAGAATGGGAGAGAATTAGAATGTAAAAAACAGCGCCTGTCTTTCTTTCACCCTAAGTCTCTCTGAACACAAGTGACCGGTTTCGGTGTGTCTGCGTTCGCGTCTATAGTGTTTCAGCGCTCACAATTGCGGCGCTCGACGCGCGCCATCGCGAAGTCTGAACGCTGTTTGAAAAAGTAGTGAAGGAAATGAACAAATACTAAATAGAAAGTTAAGGTTAAAACAAAAAAAACAGCATCAAAGTCTCATACAAAAGCATCTACCTTTGACAGAGTGCTTCAGCTCGCTTTCTCGTAGCAATTCTGGTGCACACCAAAGATAACTCATCCACTGAAACATTAAAAATGAACTGAAAGCAAAAGAAGTATTAAACGGTTCAAAAAGTCAAGTTCGGAGAAAATATCCAACATTTGACACGTAAGAAGAAAAGGAATATTCTTCAACGCACCCGACTTTCTTCACTTTCCCACTGACGACCTTCACGTATTTCATGATGACCGAAGTCAGCGACTTGCAGCGCCCATCTTGATGTGATCAAGCAATTAGTCGATTTTAAATTACCGTGTACTCGCAGTTCAGAATCATGTAAGTAGACCATGCCCTGAATTCCGAGGTAGGATTTATTCACCTTTTATTCGGATTTCGAAATTAAATTGAGAAAAAAAAGGATTAAAACCCACGTTTATGAGATCTTCCACGAAAGATGCTATATACAAGTGATCGAGCTTGAATTCACGATTCTGTAGAATGTCCATAAGCGACCCTTTGGCGCAAAATTCACGAACAATGCAAATTGAATACGGACACATTATGATACCTGAAAGTACTTCGCCTGAGTAGCTCCTAATAGTTGCCGTGAAAAAATTTCACTCAATACAAAAGTTCTAGAAGGTCCGCAGCTAGCGGAACCAAAAGCATCAAAAAGATTACGGAGCTCCCGTACGGGACCACTTGTCTGTGAAACTATCCCCTCTAATAGAATGTCTAAGACAAACAGAATAAGAAACGCTCGGTTAAAAGCTCAGAATTACAGACAGCGCACGTCCTACTACTGGGGAATTTTCCGGAAAATACGACTTCCCCCCAAGTTTCGATCTCACGACCTCGCTTCCCCATCCTTCCTACCGTCTTGCCAAATTTCCAAGCCTCTCTCTACATTTACCGAAATTTCATGAAAATTTTCCAGTTTTACCCAAAATTTTGCCATCAAGCGGGGGAGGGAGGGGAGGGGGAAACAATTACGGAAAAATTTTCCCCAACGCGGCAAATTTCTATCAAAGGCAGACACGACCCCTCCGCCCCTCTCTCCCAACGATGATCGAGTACGAGCCCTCCTTCGTGAATAGCGACCATGAAGCTGGAAAAATAAAAAAATAACAAAAAAATTTTTCTTGGACCAAATACGACACCCCTCCCTCCAGCGACTAGATACGACTCTTGGTGGGGAAGGTAGGACGTAGGACGTTCTGATTACAAAGCAGGCTTCAGGCTATTTTATTTCATTTGTGCATTGTTCTCTTGGCTCCACTAGTACGATTCCGATTGTGCTTGAAACCTCTTATTTTGTGTACTCGACAACCCCCACGGTTTCCTTCCAGCTGGGGGATCAAAGCAAATCCCGTCAAAACAAGTTCATAGGG